CTTATTTGTATTAGGTGTTAAACTTAATTCCTGCCGTTTTTCGTCTCCAAAATTGATTTGTTTCAAAGGGAAATACCTTAATCAAAGTATTATTAATAACGTATTATTAATTAGTAATAAAGTAGAAAATGGAGGAAATTACTTTGATTAAGGTATTCACTCATCTTCCCTTCGAAACAAATCAATTTTAGAGACGAAAAACGGCAGGAATTAAGTTTAACACCTAATAAATCGTCTAAAGTTTATATTACTTATTATTATATATTGATATATTTATACAAGAAAGAATGTATATCTAAAACAATACAGGTTTTAATTTTTATTAAAGATCCGTTTTTTTCGTATCAATATACTGTAGATAGTTATCGAGTTTACAGGTCTTATGTGGAATTGCTGCAATATTTTTAGTGTACAGATATTGTACATAATTATTAACATTTGTAGATGCGTAATATCGGTACATTAACGCTCATCAGCAGCAGAAAAATCTTTAAGGACATTAACATTTTATGTTCTTCAATTATCTATGTTGACTCGCATTAAAATGACATTTGATGATCAGGCTCTATCCTGAGAAGGATGAGAGGAAATCTGTGACTACTTTCTTCAGTTTCGCATCTGATGCTTCACTAATTACATTTTCTTTTGCGATGGTAGCAAGAAGATCTTGTTGAGTAGATCTGAAGAATAATATATACTTTGTATACACACACACACACACACACACATTAAGAAAAATATTACATAAACATATTATATAAATTATATTTTATATATACCTGATGTGTGCAAGAAATTCTTTTTCAAAGCCAGTGATTTTTGTTGGATCCATTTTGTCAAGATAACCACGTACGCCACAATATATGACTGCTACTTGTTCTTCAATAGCCATAGGTACTGAAAATAGAACCACGTCAAACATAAATTGATTCAGATCATGATCATTGCTAAATTTAAAATGTGATCATTTTACCATATTGTCCCTGTTTGAGAAGTTCCGTTAACCGCACGCCGCGGTTCAACAATTGCTGAGTTGCAGCGTCTAAATCCGAACCAAACTGAGCAAAAGCTGCTACTTCACGATATTGAGCCAATTCTAATTTCATAGAACCAGCAACCTATGCAATCAAGTATTATAGATATTAAAGATTATGCGTTTCGCGGGTTTTCTCCGTGTCCAGACCCATTCCTTGAAATGCCAATATTTCGTGAACTTTGATGAAGTGGACTGCAAGGTTCATGAAATATTGACATTTCAAGAATGGCTCTGAACACAGAGAAAACCTGTGAAACGCAGAATCTTTATATAGAAAGCATCCATGAAAGCCTCAAGAATATTATTATAGATATTTGTATTTTACATTAATATTATATAATTCTTTTGGTGTTAATCGCATAAATCAAAGAATTGACAATACCTGTTTCATGGCCTTAGTTTGAGCAGCAGATCCAACACGTGATACAGATAAACCGACATTGATAGCAGGTCGGATACCTTTGTAAAACAATTCGGTTTCCAAAAAGATTTGACCATCGGTAATAGAAATGACATTGGTAGGAATGTAAGCAGACACATCACCGGCTTGTGTTTCGATAACAGGTAAAGCAGTCAACGATCCACCACCTAAATTTTCATTCATTTTGGCAGCTCTTTCAAGCAAACGAGAATGAAGATAGAATACATCACCAGGATAGGCCTCACGACCTGGTGGTCTTCTAAGCAGCAAAGACATTTGCCGATAGGCAACGGCTTGCTTAGACAAATCGTCGTAAATGATTAAGGCATGTTTTCCATTATCTCTGTAAAACAATACCCTATTAGTTTGCAGTAATAAATTTGATATATATACACATATAACATCATATTAATTTTAATTAAGACATGTATTTCAAATAAAAATCTAACAGATAATATAATGCGAATAGTGTTAAATAGAGTGCTAAGTATTTGGATATATCATTTAGAGAATAGAAATTTTTGAATAATATATCTACCTAAAGAATTCTCCCATAGCACAACCAGAGTATGGAGCCAAGTACTGAAGAGGAGCTGCATCAGAAGCAGTGGCAGATACAATAATAGTATAATTGATAGCACCACTGTCTGTTAAACGTTTTACAATTTGCGCAACAGTAGATCTCTTTTGGCCAATAGCAACATAAATGCAGTATAATTTCTTTTTTTCTTCTCCACCGTCATTGAAACGTTTTTGATTGATAATGGTATCAATGGCAAGAGCAGTTTTTCCAGTTTGCCTGTCTCCAATGATCAATTCACGTTGACCACGACCAATAGGCACTAAAGAATCTACAGCTTTAATTCCAGTTTGCATAGGTTCTCTGACTGACACTCTGTTATAAAAAAAAAGTACATATAATATGTACATACTAAATAATAGTCTCTAATTTTATCTCTCATTAAAAAAAAAAAATATTAATTGATTTTCTTGGAAAGATTAAATAATTACCAAAAAATTACAATTAGTTATAATTGTTATAAACAATTATAAAAACACAATTTATAAATTACCTAGGAATAATGCCTGGAGCTTTTGTCCCAATACGGAATCTTAATTTGCTGTTTAGAGGTCCCTTGCCATCGATAGGATTACCCAAGGCATCAACAACACGACCCAATAATTGTTCGCCAACAGGAACGTCAACAATAGCACCAGTACGTTTGACGATATCGCCCTCCTTAATGTGTCTGTCATTACCAAATACAACAACACCCACGTTGTCAGGTTCCAAATTCAATGCCATACCCTTTAAACCTGAGCTAAATTCTACCATCTCATCGGCTTGAATGTTTTTCAACCCATACACACGTGCGATACCATCTCCAATACTGAGCACCCTACCAGTTTCTTCAAGATTAGCCTAAAATGTACATCCTCCTTCAGATATTTTCAAAACTAATATCTTTAAACTATAAAAGTATACATGTATATCTAAAATTAATAAAAATGAAATGTTTAAAAATGTATCATGTCACACTAAATGATTTAAATATATAATATTCAATTTATTTCTAAGTTGGGTTACCTTTGGTGCTGATCCAAGGATACGTTCTTCCAAGATAGCAGAAATTTCTGCTGAACGGCGACTACACGAGACATGATATTTATGGGAAGCAATAGCAGTTGCAGGCCAATTAATCTAAACAAATAAGTATATATTACAGATATACGTATAATAGTAGTCAAATATTCCGAAACTCTTATTACATAACTTGCTGTTCTAACACACTTTACATAATACACTGTATATCATCATCGCTAGCACCATACAAATATTATTCAGTTTATGAATCAGAATGCTTGCTTTATTTTTTATCTACAGTCTACTTGAGCAGAAGCAAATGTGATAAAACGGAGCATAGGATAGCTTTGACAAAGTGGAAAATGTCGACACGTTTTATTAGGAGTGCAACATTCGATAGTCGTGAGTGTTTAACGAGAGATTCCTCGTATTTACCTGGGTGGCATTCGGCAAATGCCTGATCAAGGCTGAGGCTAAACGTAAAGATAAGAGTCCCATTTTCCAGCGGCCAGGCTACGAACAGCTACTAATTAACGTGAGGACGTAAAGACGACCGATCGACGTCGGTTATCGGATAGTAAGGATTGGTATGGATCAGAAGAACATTCGCTCGTTCGCTCAGTGTAGAGTCCTACATTTATCAGAGAGGCGCAACCGGTGTTATGCATTCTGATTCGCTGTTGCAATCTGACCAATTGCGTGACTTGGCAGCCATTTATAGTATTATTAGTACTATTTCTATTTCATTTTATCCTATACATTCTATCTCACATTATCCTACACGTCTTATCTTGTTTGACATAGTTTAAAGGCAGTTTCATAGCATGTCGGCCATGTTTAGTACTCTCCTTAGCACCTTTTTCATACAGACTTAGGGCTATGGCAGAGAACGAGACGTAACGAGACGCAAGTTCCGTAGTCGTAACGTAAGGTAAGGCAGAGAAAAACGTAGCTGTCGTAGTCGTGACTGGTCTGGAATGGTCGGTAAAGTGTGTCAGAGCGACGAGGTGAGTAATATTAATGCACGTTTATACGTCTTAATAGTTAATAAGGAAATATATACACACTAAAACAAAATAAAAATAGATTTATTTTTAAAGATATAATGATATTTGTTTCCATCTCCTAAAATAATCATAATAGTACGTAATTATTATTTTAGAGGTTAACCAATATTTTTCGAAGTATGTATGTACATTGTTAATTACTAACAAAAAATGTCCTTAACACATTTTTAAAATCATTATTTCTACATTCTTTCTTTAGGACGGAATTAGTTTAACCGTTTCTCAAGGTTTTTAAATAGGACGTCGTCTTTGTGTTATGCACATTTCTGAGGATTTTTTCTTTAGAGGATCGCTACTTTAGTAGGTTAGTGCAATTTTATGATTATATGCTGTATGACTAAATCAATATTAATTAGAAAGAAGTATGTAAGTCAACGCAAAGGTCTTTTTACGAAAACAATCTTTATGAAATTTGTTTCATATATTAATAACAAACTTTTTGATCTGCCTATCAGGTTATCTCAGTAGTATATCATTAACAATTTATAATTTAAATTAATAAATTACATCTGTTTTATGGTATTAATTTAAATTAATAAATTACATCTGTTTTATAACATTATGTATGTGATAACTATGTGAAGATCATAAAGATTGTTTTGATAAAAAGATATTTAATAAAGAGAAAACATTGTTAAAAGAATGTTTTATCCCGCAAACACAATAGAAGCTTTAAGCCTTAATTTATTGGCCAATCATTGTCGATTATTCTTCTCACATTTGACTGTGATTGATCAATTTCTTAAGGCATAAGACTTATTATCTATTGTTTTTACGGGCTTAAAAATACCTTTAAAATTATTATGATATGAAATAAAGTATGTATGAACCAAATATGATTTATTTACTGTTAATAAGACATATAAATAGGGTGTCTGATTGTGTTCCGATATTCGCTGTCAGTCATTGAAAATCTATAATATACATTAGGGCTACATTCCAAAACATCCTCTTCGAGAAAGATTTTACTCTATATACTATAATATAAGTTACGTGTATTATATATTTCGAGTAAAATTTTCCTTGGAGAGGACGTTTTGAAATGTACTCTAGGTACATAGATTTTCAGTAATGGCAGTGAATATCGAAACGCATCCATAATTTACAAATCTTATATATTATATTCTAATATATTTTTCAGGATATTTTTTCAGTAAATTATATATAATTTACAATATCTCGTAAGCTGTAAAAATAAAAAATGATGATGAATTTATATTTTTTGTGACATATTGGATGAACGTGTCTATGTTGCTCCTACGTAAAAAACAACAAAAAAGGTGGTTAAATAGGCGCTGGCTTGTGAGTCCTATAAATCAAAAGAGGATCCAACAGGGAGATTATGATCATTTATTCCAAGAAATAAAAAATGATTGTGATTTTTTTTATCGATATACTAGAATGACATTGGAACACTTTGAGAAATTAGTAGAACTGACAAAACCATATTTGATAAAAAAAAGTTATCGTGCTTTACTCCCAGAACTACGACTTTTAATAACTATAAGGTATACTATGGGAGCTTTCCAACAAAAGACACAAGCGACATAGTATAACACAGCGAATCATTACATCCTTGTTGTTCGTTAACGTTAAACAAAGATGAAACGGTTACTGTGTTACACAGTGTCGCTTGTTGGAAAGCTCCCTATGATTACATAGTTCATATCTAAAGAGATATCCCAAGTTATCAATTCATATTATAAGGTAGTTTTCTAATATTCACTGTTAGTGCTATAAATCTATAAAGCACGTAACGTATACCATAGATTTTTAGTACTGTGTGAATATCGGAATGCATCCATAGTTAATTAAAATGTATTACAATTATTATATTTTTTCAGATATCTTGCTACAGGTGACCGACCATTTGTTATAGCTTTGGCATTTAGAGTTGGTGAATCCACAGTAAGAGAAGTGGTGAAAGAAGTTTGTCTTGTTTTAATCAAGATTTTACAACCACTATATCTTTCTTCACCTACAGAAGAAGACTGGACGAAATATGCACAAGGATATTGGAAGAGATGGAACATTCCAAATTGTGTGGGTTCCATTGATGGAAAACATATTAGAATGCGCTGTCCTCCAAACTCGGGAAGTTTATACTATAACTATAAAAAATATTATAGTATAGTATTGTTAGCCGTAGCTGATCATTTATATAGATTTACATTGGTTGATATTGGAGCGTTTGGAGGTAAGTAATAAAAAATAAAAGAAACTTCAATCTTATATATATATATATATAT